TATGAAACGCCAGTGGGTACACAACTAAGCACAGGCTTGCCTCCTTACCTGCTCCTGCATGAAGGCAAAGTGGATTTGTTTCAGAGCGCAATGTTAGAAAATCTCTGAGAGCGGTGACGGTTTTTTCAGCTTTATGTAGTTTTCGAACTAGAAATACGAGTACACAAACAAATACAGCGTAAATCTTTTTGGAATTCATTACAATCTTGGTGAACCGAAGATCTAGTAAGTAACTTGCCTGCTGCTGTTGTGTGAAGAAAATAAGGCATAAACTGAAGCGCCTTCCGAAAAAAAAGAGAATTATTTATGTGTATTATCTGTGAACCAGCGTCCAAATATTCCAAAGTTGGCGGTCAGTAAAATAACAATTTTCTGAGATGAATACGCCCAAATATATATTTACGCACAACTGCGATTTCACAGTTTTCTTAGAACAACGTGATGCAGACGAAAAATGGCAGTGTTGGTTCTGCTTTGCCCGTCTCGAACAGAAGACAGACCAGAGATATGTAAATTGATTTCGCCAGCAAATTCTATCACCGCATGTTGTGTTACTCTCAGTAGGCTACTCATGTTCTTCATTCAGATGAATAAGGTCTAAACAACTGCGTCATTCGCTCCAACGGCAACATGTATGCTTAGATCAGTCAGCCATTTTTACATTCACGTCACAATTGCTACCAGCCACACGCTTCTCTGCTTTCACAAAAACTTTGAGTGCATCTGGGCATAAGCTATTGGTCAACAAATCGTCAACTAGCTTTGGATACCAGGTTTCAACAAAAGATGCTTTTGCATCACTCCGCTTACGTGCTACTGTTGGCAGATTGATGTGGTAAAAAGGGAGGATAAATGAAGAAAGGTTAGCAGCGTCACAGAATGATATAAAAGTAACCCTTGATCTACTGTATTTGTGGACGTGTGAAACATTATTGCGGAAATTGATGGTAAGTCAGTTACCCATTTCTGTATCGTTGCACACATGCATAGCGCTGCATTAAAATAACCTCGCTTCAGTTATTTCCTGCATTGCGTAGAGAACTTACTGTTTACCATAAGCCACGATTAGATGTAAAAAGCTACTCTTTGTGTTCTGTGGAATTGTCGGACGTTGGTGATACAGAGGACGTTGCAGCCGGATATGTTGCGGTGGGTATTGTATTAAACGAAAGAGCTGGAAGCGTCTATGTTTGATTGGATACTTGTCAATAATCGCCTTTGTGGGCTTCGCTTGATGACATGTTTACCATAGGCCACGATTAGGTGTAAAAAGCTACTCCTTGTGTTCTGTGGAATTGTCGGACGTTGATGATGCAGAGGACGTTGCAGCCGGATATGTTGCGGTGGGTATTGTATTGGACGAACGAGCAGGAAGCGTCTATGCTTGATTGGATACTTGTCAATAGACGCCTTTGTGGGGTTCGCTTGATGACATCTGTGAGAGAATCTAGAGGAAGTAAGGTTCATCGCACCTTGTTCATTGTGTCTGCTTATTACTAAATGACTGTAGCTCTGATACTGCCAAAGACAGTTGCTTTGACCATCTAGGTGCCATTTCACAGCAGGCTAGAAGCCCAGATAGCGTTGCTGTTACTAATATGAATGTCAGTTCAGGTTGACTATACGCTTGTATTTCACAGCAGGTTAGAAGCCCAGATACCGTTGTTGTTACTAATGATATGAATGTCAATTAAGGTTGACTATACGCTTGCGAGTCCCGACAGGGTTGCTGTGTTGGTGTGGACGTGAGATACCAGGAGGACAGGGGCAGCTTAACTCAGATTTGTTCCGATCACAGACAGTTCCTTTGCAGTATGAGGTTTCGGAACAGCGGAACTTGCTTGACAACGTAGTGCCCACCAAGAAATCAGCACCGAATCCAAATAAACTACGTCTCCATCAGTTTCGGTGTCTATGGTTGATCACCACCTGCCACTCCTTCTAGGACACCAGCATGGACTTCAAACATACACTTGTACGCCGCTGATTTTAATCGAACTTTTTAGATGTACGCGAAACGCGCACACTTTGCTTTGCCATTAAGAACTCAGTGGACCCGGAAGTCAAACGAATCTATCAGAATGAGCTCCCAAGTGCCTGCCAGACGGCAAGGTTTTAGATGTAAACGGCCACTGGGGAAAGATATCTAAAGCGACACTCATAGCTGGAATGTCTATTTGTGGTATAACCCAGCCAACCTCATCCAAGTATTATATTGCTGATAGGACCGTGATTTGCTAGAGACCCGTCGACAGATTCCTACTTGCCACCACCACCAGCACCACACCCGGCGCATCATCCAATGGCAGGTAATGATAAATTTCCGCGCAGAACAAGAAGCTTAGTGAACCCAACAGGCCGGAGAAATAGACGATGCAGAGGATGCTGGAAACGTACGCAAACTGTTCCACCTGACTCGTTCGACTGGTCCTCGGAAAACTCTTGTCAGCGAAATAATCAGGGACCAAAATGGCTCCCTGATGTGCACCAAAGCAGAACGATTGTTTCGACAGTATTTTGAGCAACAATACAGTTAGACATCTGCTGCCTCAATCCATAATCCTGACCTTCAACAAAAAGGCGGACTGTGAATATGGAGCCTCCTAAGAATTGTCCACCATCATATTTTTTATGCGCCTTGCACCTTCGAGGTGCGAGGTCATGCTCCAAAACGTATCACCTGCAAACATACCCTGGAATTCAAGGAGAGTCACTGGAAATTGTGGGAAGCTTTACATATCTTGTAAGTTGTATCACCTCTGAAGCGAGTGTGTCTGATGTAATTAGTGCAAGGACCTCAAGGACTCAAATCAGGCGCTAATTTGCGTCACTTATGGCGTCAAAACTCAGTCTCACTTGATCTTGAGGGTCGCGTTTGCCGGGATATTGTTGTCTGGGTGCGAAACGGCCTCTGTGAACAGATGATGGGAAAAGTTCTCAGAAGTTAAACCGCCGATGCCTCGAAAGTTTGGGTGTTTTGATGGCGTCGGCATGCGAGTAACGTGGTTGTTAGAAAACGACTATTTGGTTATGCTGCACGTACGTCAACTGTGGAAACATCCATCACCATCAAATACGATGTTTCGGTGTTTGCTACGCACGCCAAAACACCTTAAACCGAGACGATGTTTTTCTCTTTGCCTCCCTCAGATTGGCACAAACTGCATGGTAGATAGCGCACGACTTGGCAGGGACGTGTGAATGAGATCACGAAGAGTTTTAATGTTTTTGGAGTTACTGGTGTTGCACGTATTTCGGGATGTGCTTTCCGTGTTCCCACCTGTGCTTGTTCTGAGCCGTTGCAAGGAATGACGGCTAATATATGTCTGTGGCGTTTGCGCTGTCAGTTTCTTTTCAGTTTGGCCGATCGAGCAGTTGGAGCTGTGGACACCTCAGAATGCTTGACGTAGTCCAGCACTAGGAAGCCTCTATCATTCACTCTTTGTCTCTACTTTCACTCTGGGTCTTTTCATACAATTATATATAAATGTAAGTAGACGGAACTTATGGTTGTACCGCAGTGTAGCATCTGTGTGAACACACACGCTGCTCTCTTCGATGGTGATGATAATGTTCAAATACAGAGGTTTTCCGATTGAAATTTGTCTTCTTCCAAGTGTCAGTGACGGGAAATAATTATATGTAGTGACAATGCTGAATGGTCAGCGCAGTTAATTTTGTCCATGTTTTATAAATTCGCGAAGCTCTTAGAAATTGTCACAAGCCAATTGTTGCTCAAATACTGTTAACTCACATGCTGATTTTGTGTATGCAATGATGAACATGAATAATTTAAGACAGTACTTCTCTATCCAATTTTGGCTTGATGGCCGCACAACGAACGATTCAGAAACGGAGAAATATTTATTCCTGACCTCTTACTTGCTCACGTGCATTCAGCCACATGTTTGACAGTGGCAATCAACCAGCTTAAAATACAACGTTGGTGACCATCGATGCGGCACTCTGGTAAGCAAAGCTAATTAGATTTTTTGACACTCAGTTTACACATTTGTTTTGTTTAACGTTTGAGAGAATTTGATAATTGTTTTTAGGCACATGCACGCCAGAGAGCGCAATGGTTGTACCGAGTCACAAATGTGCCTTTCCTTGACAGTCTGTGCATATAACCTGGCGTTTTAGGAAATTCGAAAAACTTTTCAATACTGAGCTCTGCTTTGCCAATAAAGTAGTCAACAAGGCATTTTGTACAGTATGCGTTGTGGCCCGCTGGCAAAGTATGGTTATTTTGTTTAAACAACGGAATTGCAGAACTTACATTGCGTCAGACATTGAACAACTGTTGCAAATAAAACAAGATTCGCGGATTTGATTTGAGCCTAAATGTTGTCATCCACGAGTCTTTCAGCATCTTCGAGCACAGTGCTTGTTGCTTCAGAGCACACTGTTATAAGTGAAATTTGGTATACTCACGTACTGCGTTTATGCACATTGAATGGTAAAAATAAGCAAGAAGTAATCAAATAAGTTCAATGACATCCAAAATAATCTTCCTAAAGTTTAAACTATCAGATTCTCTCCAATGCACAAAAGCCCAATGGATTGCATTCTTCTAAACGGCTCGTTTGTTGTGATGATGCTTGGTGTGATTATCACTAACACTGACTTACCAGTTTCTGAAAGTCTTTTTACTGGGATTTTCGAGGGAAAACAGCGCAGTTGATGAAGTTAGGCCACGTCAGGTAATATGATGGTTAAGAACATCACATCAGTGTAAACCAGCAGACCATATTTCGGTCGTAGAGCAAATACACAGCACAACAAACCCCTACGGAAATGTGACATTTGCACCAGAACACATCTTATTTTTTTCGGAATAAAATTCAAGCATGGAGAAGTATGTAGGTAAGGCCACACGCTAGCGTGAGTATAAGAAAACTCAGTTTGAATGCCGGATTTATTTTCATACACTGTTACAGCGTCAGTTGAATGCTACTTGTTGCACTAGACGTACCTGCTTCGTCTGTGTTAAGAAAAAGTCAAATGTTAGTAGACAATATGTTGATTTACACATATAAGGTAAACGTTTACCCAATAAGTACACGTTTACTCAGCTATTCACCAATTTGGAATGTTTCTACACCAATGTAGGGCTTTTTGGTGAACGGATTTCTGGCTTCTGTGTGCCTGGAGGCATCGACAAGTAGATAAAAAGCGATAGATTAAGCACATTTTTAATCTGCAAATCTTTCTAGCAAATTTTCAAAGCACAAACTAATTAGCTGAAGATTTTCAGACAGTAGATATGCGTTTGCAAAAATGAGCATCTTCTCTGTGGACCTGTAGCCCTAATGTTTTTTGTCAGCCACATTTAAGTCTTTCTTGCCGCAGAAACGTACCTCTATTCAAGCATTTATCCACTGGAGTGTTTCGAAAAACAAATATCACGACGCATGTTATACATCCGAAATTGTTGGTAACGGCTAAATAATTGCTGTCAGTAGGTCTAACCTCTAACTGTTCTGAATTAAGCGCCCGCCCATTTTACATGTCTATCCGTTATGATGTTGTGGCTCGTATTGAATGGATACATGAATGACCTATACGAAACGTATTAGGGCGCAACGTTTTTCTACAATATGTCGTGCAACTGCCGCTAGTCTATCATATTCGCAACTGTGCATATCACAACGAAATCACGGTTGAATGAATTGTTAGTGCTCCCGGACGGATGACTGATATGCTACATCTTTAGCACTCAGACTTACCCGTTTCTGAATACACCCCCACTTATTGTTTGAAGTAAAATTCCAGTCTTTACGAACGGTCAAAAAGAATTTTTGAATGAAAACGGCGTTTGAAATAGCCAAGTCTGTCATTGCCAAACACAGAGCCGTGGATTTCAAATTTTGTTAGAAAATGTTTATCTTATGGATGTCCTGCAATCAGCGAAAATGCGGTGGACACATTAACGCAGGAACACTTGCGTATCTCATTTGTTCCTGGTTTACTACCAGCAAAAACAAGCATATACCTTGAAATAAGCGCAAAATTATTTTTTGTCATACAAATCAAAAAACGTTAGCGCAAAAGGAATTCACCTAATCAGCTGAAGGGTAACATAGGCGGTATCAAAGCAGAATAATCCAAGCAGTTGACAGATATGCTTACCCGAAGACACGATAATGCATATGGCAACTAGTACCCGGTTGTAAGCCATGAGGCCAAGTGATATCGCCACTGAGAATACAGACGTCTGTTTGTCCTTTGAGCATTTATATACCCAGCAATCAGCCGGTAAAAAGTATTAGAATAATAGAGAGACGTAGGCCCAGAAATAAGAGACATACCCAATAAAGTACCGCACTCAGGAATATAAACATCTCTTATTGGTCAAATTGTTCACTTGGCTTTGCAGCGTGAATAAGCCCAGATGATTGGTTGCACACTTTGGACTACCTAAAATGGTTTTTACCTGGCCTTGGTGTCCTCTTTTACCGAGAGCGCATTGTTTATAACGTTAAGTTAAGACGCAGACGTTGGCAGTATTATCAAACTGCAATTAATGTGAGTAGGTTTCACAACCTGTCACCAAAAACTTAAAATAGTCTCACGAAGTTACGCCCAAGAAACACTTTCGCTTCTGGTTAAGAAGCAGAAGAAATGTAAGATTCGTTTGATACTGTGCCGTCGCAGGTTAAATATGGTTATTGAATGCACGGTTTCAGTTTGTTGTCATAGACTGTTGCGTTCAGTTTGTGTACCCACTTTTCAACATGAGCCTTATCTAGACATTTCAAATGGTTTTTCCTGCCAAAAACCTGCGAATCTTGGATCACTGGATTTGTGACGTTAAAACGTCTAACAGAATTTGATATTCTTACATTAATATATATCTATATAGCCGCGTATATAATTTGACATGGTGATAAGGTATTCGTAAACAGGATTGATATTCAACGTTTTATCTTCAAGCTGAACGACGAACCTCAAAGGGCGAATTCAAACAGAATTTAGGAGAGGGACATCAAGGATATATAGACATTTTAATAAAAAATCGTTTCTACCAGTGGTTGTCGTCAGCCCTATCTGCCTCTGCAAGCTCTAAATTCGAAGTAATGGTTTTTGGACAGAAAACTCTATGATTTTTGTATGTTTCGTACACTTTTTACACTGCTAAAATACATTTTAACCATGCGCGTGCCCACGCTAAATTTGTGACTTAGAGTACTTTGGTTACACGGGTGGGTAACTCACTACGTATATCCGGGGATTTACATGCATCTCTGCAGAAAATGGTAGTGTCAAAAATGCAACTTTTTTACTGAAGTGTTTGAGAGAGCATCCATAATTTTCCATGCGTCCCGAGGCACAAGTAAAATCAAAATCGTCTTTTTGCTAAAACCTAATTTCAACCACGGTAGTCTATTACGCTAGCAACCAAATTTGTCTCGAAAGCAGAATGAAAATTATTTGGCTGCCTCATCTACACCATTGAATGTGCCAACGCTGGCGCATTCTTGTGCTTAGGCTACACTTAATTTATATTTATTCCGAAAGCAGAGGATCACTGTAGATTCACAGCCTTCCTTCCTCTTCTCTTGTCTTACCTATCCTATAAGTTATCCGTTGCTAATTTTATCCGATGCATTTTAAAGATCCTCTTACATTTGTGAAATACTTGTCCGATTGTGCGCTAAACAGCCCCACACCAAATACCAAAAATATTATCCCACATGCCCCACTCAGTAACCTTCATGGTCACCTCATCCATAATGTACTTGTACTTCTCCACATATTTTCGCCTTTGGTGATGAAAAATGGCGATCAGAACTTCACTGTCTGATGACCTACCTCTTTGGGGCCAGTTAAACCGTTGGTGCCAATTTCGGCGATAAACATTCGCATATTCGAAATGAGCCTTGAAAGTCGGGGGAACTTCGTAAATTACCAAAGTTTTTATCCTGCTGCAGTGTTATTCATTTTGGTTTGTCAACGCAGGCTGCTTATTCAAATATATGTGTTGCGCTAAATTAATTATCGCGGATGAGAACATGAATGCTTGTTCATTTAGAAATTCTTTTAGAACAATCGCATCTTGCACACAAACATCCAGTTTCCAGCACAACTGTCATCAGTTCTGCCATTAATATGTGGCTGCGCGAAATAGATAAAAGGACAGAAACAGTTTAAAACTACTGCCAAATTTTACAGTTCTGTCCTGAAAGATCCCGCTGAATAAAATTAACGGGCGGAATAAGAACGGGTGTTTTTTTTAAGACAGGGACGACTTAAAATAAATGCAATCTAGTTCAGATACAGTTCTACACCCTGCATAATTTTGCAATGTAGCAAAATTGTTACTTGACCATGGATGGAAACCGCAAGTAGCTTTGCAATGCAACGCAGCTTATAGTATTCTGCGCAGCCTGAGAAAAACTTGTAAAGCCAAGAGCAACAAACGCGAATATAATCTGGAAATTAACCTGCGAACTTTGATGCCTGGACGGCAGCAGTAAGGACGTTTTAATCTGACTTTGCTTGACTTCAACATAGAAACTTTGAGAACGGAACTTCCGAAAGATCCGGAAACGGTTGAAACAAAAGATCAAAATCTCATGCTGACTATTGACTGAAGTTTATGGGAGTTGAGTTAATGCTTTGAGTATTAGTGGCCTCTGGTGAGAAACCAAAAACTTGGACCGCGTGTCACAGGTATGCAACGGTTTAAAATGTACGAGAGTATGGGCAGACAAAAGATAGTGTGTCACACACCATGGAGTTTACATTTCGAAATCTCATGTTAGTCGCTGAGGATTTTCATGAGATGTTGAGCGTGAGCATACACCCTATTTAATATTAAGTCTATCTAGTTATATGAAACCGGTCGTTTCGTAACAATTCTCATGTCCTAACCAGGGGTACCATGTTTTGACTCGCAGAATGGCCTAGAGCACGTTCTTGCCTGCACTTGTTCAAGAAGTGGTCACAGAAAAATTTGAGGTTCCAGGGGAAAGCATCAAACAAGGACTAATCTGTACCCAAGCCAATATACGCATAGACAATTTGCTGTGTTAAAAAATAACCATCGGTCAAAAAGGCCGAGTAGAATCCACATGGTCGAAGAAATGGGCATGCTTACAAAAATACATACTTTCTGAGAATTTTCTGCAGCTTTATTGAGTTTTATTCATATTTTAGCCATAAGGCTCCCACGCAAATTTCTTATTTTTTACAAAGTCAGAAAATCATGCGCAACTAAAATCAAAACGCAATTAATTAGTCGAAAATCGGAAAAAAATTGAGGCTGCCATTTCTAGTGGTATTTTATGAAGCAAGATTAATATCCACTTAAGAACCGCGCAGTGAAAAAGTAGCGCTGTATAATACACAGTCGAATTATACAGTGTCACAGCGCCCGGCTTAAAAACCTGGTTGAATTTCTTGGCAAGAGCATGCTAGGGGTTGTTCTCAGGCTTTATGCTCTGAATACAGAACAATATTGTTCTGTTCTCCGCTACCCGGAAGAAAATACTGACATTAATTCCGTACAGCACGTTCAAAATTGACTGTTTATTCGTCAAGTTATGTAGTGATACTGGCAAGAAAATTTGGAAACCGAAGATTCGAGCATGGCGTTTAGGACCGGAAGTGAAAAGACCCAAACTCATTTGCACGACTAGTAAATCAGTACGCGTTCAAATGTCCGACGATAATAGCTGCATACATTATTATCGGAGGCAAATAAGCTGCACATTCTTGAAAAAAAATTATCGGAGTTTTAGGCAAAGTTTACAGGGCGAATCCCGGCCATGCATTTAGACACACATGAAAACCTATCAATCCATTCCTTCTTCTCTGTGTGATGACACGGGAGTTTTAGGCAAAGTTTACAGGGCGAATCACGGCCATGCATTTAGACACGCATGACAATTTATCAATCCATTCCTTTTTCTCTGTGTGATGACACGATGCGCAACCGAATGCTAGTTAAAGCCGATTGGCAGCCTGCATAGAAGGAAAAGCTGTCTGTAGAGTAATAACCAAAAGCAAAATGCAATAACTTGTCGTCATAAAATGTAGTAGGTTTCCCTCAGCAGCTGCCATGTACTGTTGTTGAACATGTTTTTTCTCCTATGTTGTACACGTTGACATGCATTTGGTACCTGCAAATGTTACGGATTTTTTTGATTTTGTGGGCCACTTCTTATAAATGCATGTTTTCTATGATGTCAAGCTGGTGCCTGTCAGGAGTATGTCAATGCAAATGATAGGTGATCAAAACAAACTCCCCTCTAAATGTAATTACCCAGAACTATGATTATGCATTCAAGCCCGTGGTTTTCAAATAGATAATCAAGATTACTTATCTCACTGAAATGTCAAAAGGTAGGTGAGGTGCCTATTCATGTTGATCGCCGCGCTTTTCGAGCCCAGCTACCTTTTATCCATAAGTTAAATTAAACCAAACTATGTGCAAAAGCCTGAAAATCGGTAATTACCGAGATGATGAATTCTCGGTAAGCAGATTGCGCTTGAAACAAATAAGCCGCAGCTAGGGCCTCTCGGAACCCCAAAATAGAGTGGCCTTACATACAGGTTGAAAGCTTGCATACGCCTTCTATTTTGTTTTTATTTGCAGTCAGTCATATAATCAGCCTTAAGACATACTTTAGAAAAAATATTGGGTTACGTTTGAGCAGCTTTGCCACAACTCCTCAGTGGACGACCTTCGAGAAAATGTGAGTCACTCGAAACATTTTCTTGTGTACTAAGCAGCCCCGTTCGGACGATCGGTGAAAGCCTGTATTAGCGAATTGAACTATGAATTTAGGCGATACATACGACTTATTGGATCCAAGCTCAGATACATTTCGAATTAAACCGGCTTGTTATTACAAGGTGCGTATCGTCCAGCACGATTCCGACCATCATGATGTCTCATGGATAATTTCCTTGAAGACTTTCAGAATTTAGCTCCAAAAACTTGAATATCAGATCCTTTTTGACTGTCACACTATGATAGTGAGAGTGGAAATGATTGAATGCATGTCGTTTGTCGTATGATCACGGTCACGTCCAACTTTGAGTCATGGTGTCTCACTTTTCAGCTTTTTTGATATCTGCCGCAGGTATTAGTCACGTTCCCCGCTTGGAGCTGAAGCATAAGCTGTACAGATCCTGTGATTAGCATTTATGAATTTATAATATGCATCTGATAACTCAGAAATCCTCGGCGGTGGGGGCTGACGTCTGCTTGCAGCCACGCAAAGGATGGGCACTTCGAAATTTAAACGCTACAAGGTAGTTGTGATCAGAGGCTTGTACGTAAAGTGGTGACTGTAATCTATGCACTTCACTAACACATAATTTACGTTGAAGTCTAACAACCAGGCCACCTGCGATTCTTTGACAGCATACTAATCAATAAACAATTTCTAGAGCTTCTAGTCTGATTCATTGGCGAAGGCACAGTGATGCCGATAGATAAATTGTAACTGAAGCAAGAATGCTCACCAGGCTTTGGGATAACCGCACTTGGCAAAACATTATAGTGACCTGGTCATACTCTTAGCCTTTCTGATGGTCTGCCGATATGTATCGACCTCCATGTGTCTCGTGTAACATAAATCTTAGAAACACTCACATTCCGCTTTCCATCGTTTCTTTCCGCAGCGTTTGCCAAAAATCAGAATTTGCCCTCCATCTTGCGCTAGATATTCCGGCCGCGGTGCATTATTAAATGGGCCATTAGGCCGTCATCCCTTATTCACAGGACCAATCTCTCGGGCCACCTGAAATGCAGAGTCCCCAGTTAGATTACTTAATCTCGCCTGCAACTTTAGTACTCCACCTGGACATTTTTAGCCGTGGTTTATCCACAAAGTACTCTCTGGGTGTACGTACAATGGCTGTGTCGGTGTACTTTTGCAACCAACTTACGATACAAACCCTGTGTGAACTATCCTTCATTAAGTTTATCCTGTTAAGACTTTCGTCCTACCGACATCATTTGTGTTTATAGGTTAGTGGTGCGCTCTCAGATAAGTTTTTATTGCTGCGTGATTCGCCGTTTGGTCGCGGAAAAACCCGCGAGATTCTGTGTCTTATTCGACCGCCGCACGGAAAGAGAACTTCATGAAGAATGCAATCCATCAAACATCTAATATGATAGTGTGACTACCGTTCTGTTTGATGGTTATGATGAGACATTTAAAAAGAACAGGAATAAATTGGTCGCCGAATATGGCGCGATGAATATAAAGGAGCGTTGAGTTCGGGTCATCTATGGCTACTTTCTCCGATCACTTATTTATGAAAAGGCTCATTTTCGATTGCATCTATGTTGCTGAATTCCATCCTTCGCCAAGATCTATTCTTTTGGCAAGGTAAGAGCTTTCGTTTACACAGTTATTGTGCCCTTGTGGATCAATCATTTTGACGCTAACTTCCGTGGTTTTTGGGAATCATAAATGTCTTGATATATGTTGATGAATGGGAGATGGAGTCCCTGAGATACTCGTTTGGTGCCTTAACATCACTCTCAAAAATCAGTTTATGGGGTCATTTTTTGCCCCTAGTTAGAGCTTCTAGGGCAGGTCCACATGCCTTTTGCTAATCTGGCAATTACCGACAAGCTTCAGAATGCGCTCAGTTATAACATCACAGAACGATTCTATGGGAATTGTCTCATGGTCCACAGATGGAACTTTGCTGTGGCTCAGGAAATTCAAGGTACTCTTGATTATTGATTACACTGATTACGTTCAGACGACGCGGATTTTGCTGTGCCGAAGTCGACAATTAGTGAATAAAAAAGTAATTTCTGGAGCTTATCCACAAGGATGAATTTGTAGGACGTTCTGTCGTTCGTAATCGCCAAATAGCTAATTAAGAGCGCGTACTAAGGAGTACTGTGCACGAACACGAGTATGTCCAACCGGTTTCTGTAACATCTGTAATTTCGTACGGTCTTTGTTAATTTACAGATGAGCATTTACAGATGAGCAATCGTCATCCGCTCCAGTGCCATACATTCACAAGTCGTTAAGAAGTTCGACTGTGCGAGGAGTCAGAGGAGAGAGAGGACACAGTGCTAGCCTAATGTAAACATTTTGAAGTTCTCACAGTGTTTTGTCCGTTTTTCTATTAACTGACATCTCCCCTTTATTAGCCCAAATGCAGTGCAATGCAATTTGGCGTAGAGCTAAAATGGGACCGATGAAACTATCTGTCTATGCGTGTGCAAATCCTAATATACGCTGATTCGCCGTTTGCCACTTTGTTCGCTTGAATAATTCGCCCTGAATACGAATAACCGTTTAAATCAGCGCAACCGCTGGTCTTGACAAAAGAGCTCGTACGGCAACCACGGCGTTTTGGGCTAGGGAAGACAGACTCATATCCACACGGTTGTAGTTCAGGTGTTTGGGCTAGATGGACCAAGTTATCAACCTCTGTCTCTTGGTTTCCCCTGTCTAGGCTTAAGCGACCTGGCAGTATCCTAGCCCCAGTGCCTGCCTCGTGTGGCATGGCAGCTGGGCCCGGTGAGAGCGCTACAGCCGAATGATTGTTCAGGTGATACTTGTTCACGCTTTGGGAAGTGCTGGATTCCCTCTTTTTTGTTGGTCAGCAGCAACACGTATCGTTGTTTGTGCTGAGCTGTGACCTTTGGATAGTTGAGGGGAAACGAGGCGTAACGAATCAGCCGTTAGAATATTGCAGCTAAAATATGTCACAGAAGTTATCCATTTCATTGTCCACTGCTGGATACACACATTATATGTTTCTTTGCGCCGGTAAATTCCTATCACATCGGGCAGGTAGGTCGGTCCAGTGTTCTTGTTCTGAGAGGCATTTTGCGTCAACTTGCCTGAATTTGCTGGTTGGTGTATTCACACCTCGTTGCCAGGCCATAGGTTGTTCACTTCTTGGCCCATTCTGCTTATCACAGGGGTGGGCGAAAAGAGATATGCGGGGTAGACTGTCCCCTGTCATGGAAATTACATCTCCTAGCGAGCGCCACACACCTAAGCGTCATATCCATCGTGGGAGAGTTTTCCCTCCCGAAACTTGGTTCATGCTTTGGAGACACTAGTGAAAAACGAATGATATTTTCCATGGCAATTCTCCATACGAAACAGTTCTGATCCGTAATGCAGTGTGAGATGCCTTGCCGCGATGCAAAGTCTGCTGTTGACGGATAAACCGTCACTACATTGAAATGATAGGTGTCCGTGTTCACGAGAAAACCCTCCGGCCTTTTTGATTCGAGAAGAAATCCCATATGTAGACACTCCGCTGGGATCTACAAAGTTGCTAAGTTAGCATATATGTTTTCCACGTCAATCAGCTTATCTGGAAGCATAAGGGTTAGGTCAGACCTCGTCTGCTTTACGCTACAGGTTTGGTGAGCATTTCCAAAGATGCGGTGGAACCATTTACGTTATTTGAAGCTTCTCGAAATGTTTTTAACCAGGGTGTACAATCGTATATGCACGTGTGGACAAAGCTCCTTGAGCACTCAGAGGCAGGTAGATAAATTTCGAAAAGAATGAATACAAAGGAGACAATTCACATTTAACCCTATTTCAGTTAATCGTGCAAGGTTTTGTACCCTTCGACTGTTTCAACAGCTGAATGCCTAGGCAACAACATCCAGCACCACCGACTATGATGGCTTGGTCATGTGCTACACGTGACGAAACACCAGCTAACGAGACGAATGTTGTTCTCCAGGCCTCCCATAGGATGTCGCAAACCGCGAGGTGGACGACACATGACTTGGCAGAAAGGCGTGAAATAGATCACGATGAGTTTGGGTGTTGTTGATGATGTACACCTTTCGGGATAAGTTCCACGTGACCCCGTCTGTGAGTGACTGGAAACGTTGCAATGAATGGCGGCTGATCAACGACAGTGGCGTTCGTGCTGTCAGTTACTTTCCAGATTGTCTGATTAAGCGGTGGGAGCTGTAGGCACCTAAAAAGCCTGACTAGATACAAAATTTTAATACATCTATGATCTACTTCATGTTTGTACTGCAATGGCGAATGAGTGTCAACACGTTCACTTCTTGGCCCATTCTGCTTATCACAGGGGTGGGCGAAAAGAGATATGCGGGGTAGACTGTCCCCTGTCATGGAAATTACATCTCCTAGCGAGCGCCACACAACTAAGCGTCATATCCATCGTGGGAGAGTTTTCCCTCCCGAAACTTGGTTCATGCTTTGGAGACACTAGTGAAAAACGAATGATATTTTCCATGGCAATTCTCCATACGAAACAGTTCTGATCCGTAATGCAGTGTGAGATGCCTTGCCGCGATGCAAAGTCTGCTGTTGACGGATAAACCGTCACTACATTGAAATGATAGGTGTCCGTGTTCACGAGAAAACCCTCCGGCCTTTTTGATTCGAGAAGAAATCCCATATGTAGACACTCCGCTGGGATCTACAAAGTTGCTAAGTTAGCATATATGTTTTCCACGTCAATCAGCTTATCTGGAAGCATAAGGGTTAGGTCAGACCTCGTCTGCTTTACGCTACAGGTTTGGTGAGCATTTCCAAAGATGCGGTGGAACCATTTACGTTATTTGAAGCTTCTCGAAATGTTTTTAACCAGGGTGTACAATCGTATATGCACGTGTGGACAGAGCTCCTTGAGCACTCAGAGGCAGGTAGATAAATTTCGAAAAGAATGAATACAAAGGAGACAATTCACATTTAACCCTATTTCAGTTAATCGTGCAAGGTTTTGTACCCTTCGACTGTTTCAACAGCTGAATGCCTAGGCAACAACATCCAGCACCACCGACTATGATGGCTTGGTCATGTGCTACACGTGACGAAACACCAGCTAACGAGACGAATGTTGTTCTCCAGGCCTCCCATAGGATGTCGCAATCCGCGAGGTGGACAACACATGACTTGGCAGAAAGGCGTGAAATAGATCACGATGAGTTTGGGTGTTGTTGATGATGTACGCCTTTCGGGATAAGTTCCACGTGACCCCGTCTGTGAGTGACTGGAAACGTTGCAATGAATGGCGGCTGATCAACGACAGTGGCGTTCGTGCTGTCAGTTACTTTCCAGATTGTCTGATTAAGCGGTGGGAGCTGTAGGCACCTAAAAAGCCTGACTAGATACAAAATTTTAATACATCTATGATTTACTTCATGTTTGTACTGCAATGGCGAATGAGTGTCAACACTATGTTGCTGTCTTTGATGATGATGATGATGGTAATGATGATGATGATGATAATGTGGATGGTGATGATGATAATGATAATGCTTCGCGACTGAAAAAGAATTAGGATTTCCGTCGTCTGTTACAAGTCTAAACTGCCCGAGAAGTTGGAGGTGATCTCTGAGCATCTAGTATGATGCTGCGCGAGAATTTATATCAAACGTTTCGGTTCCTAATCTTAAGAGTTACGGCTGTGATCATTCCATTCCAAACTGAGAACCGTGAGTGAACAGACATGCCAGGAGTCATTTTTGTCATAGTGGTTTATTTTGCGTTTGTTTGTTGTGCAGTTGTTCCGCTGGACTGGTTGTTGTTGTGAGGGAGCCAGTGAATCAAATCCGGAACATCGTGAACGTCTACGTTGTTGTATTTGATTTCATGTTTTCTGGAGGAAAAGTACACATCCGATTATGTCGTCCTCGTGCTTACAATTAAGACACATTTTGAACCGCCCGAGATCTCCCCAATATTCACGGACAGCTCGATTTCTAAGGTCGATCCCTGGTCGCGTGCATGTGCAAAAATTCGCTGCACGAAATGCTTTCATTTCGCAGTTTTGTCACCAAAATATGAGTCCTTCATCAAAGGTGATGATCGGTAACGCATCCAAGCTCCGAAGCTCCGACTTTTGGAATCCACAGAGTTTATACTTCGGGTGTTGGGAAATTCCATTTGCCATTATGAGAGGTCCATACCAGGATAGCTAGCTCCCAGCGCTCAGGTGTCATAGGTAACCGTACTGGATATTGCTCTCGAATTTCTGGAAATTTCGAAAGTGCGAGCTGTTCGAACCTGCCGATTTAGTTTCTTTAGATCTCACATTGCAAGGCGGTGGATGCTGGCGCTGGCGGCCCACTCAACAAGAATTTATATCGTTCAACTGTAACATTCTCATGGTTCCTAGCTGGCATGATCCCCAAAGAAAGCGAAAGGGCCAAAATATAGTGCGAAAAACAAAATGTTACCATCCTTAGATCCACATTCAGCTTTTGACTGTTTTGTAGCGATGCAAATGAATAAATTCGCCATCCATGAAAAATGACTTCCTTGGCTATCACGTTCTAAGATTTGACAAAACAAAATGTCACAACCAGGACATTTACTGGGTCGTCGTTCGATGAGTCGGGCACACAAATCACATTGCTCAGGTGTGAACACATTCGACTGTTCAGACGTAATAATTCAGATGCGTCCAACATGCGCTGGTGGAATAGTGGTGACACGCTTGCCTCGCATGTCAGATGTCTGGGCTTCAAATCCTGGCACGGCCATTGGATATGCACTGCTGATGAGCCCTAATAAGAGCAAAACTTGAATCCAGTGTTTCCCTTCGGTGTGGACTTATCGGAATAATTAGGCCAGAACAGGAACACGGCCGTTTAAACGAGAGTAATATGGCTATGAACAAATATGTGAATCAGTGTTTCGGCTGCAATTCACATATATAAGTAGACGAGATGTTTTGTTTTTCTACAGAGTTTGCAGCAGAAAACGACTGACTTCAAGAATAAATGCACACTGCTCTGACCTGTTTGTAACATCCCCTGATTACTACGCGCTGCTCCAGAGCTATAAATCTGATATAATGATATGTCCTGCTGCGCACCTTCAAGCGAAATCGACGGTGCTCTTTAATGTGATATGTTAGACGCCAGCGAATGTAATTTTGAAAGCTGTTTTTCCTGATAAACGTGTAAACGGAAAGTTGCCTACACGTAACCAACTGCGTGGTAAACTATTTTAAGCCTCCCACTTGGCGAAGTTAGTATGAACAAATGGTCATTTTATGGGTTTATAGGTCGAGGACAAAAAGTGCAAGTTTGTTCATGGAATTAAATCGGACTTTCCTTTAAACACATTTATTCCTGCTTTATCCACTGGGTTGTAATAAAGCACAGCAAAAGGTTTCCGCAAATGCTACCAGGGCGTTGTTTTCAAGGGTGTCGTGAGCTGGAGTTTTGGTTTGTTTATTTCACGTTAAATTTGTTATGATCACTAATTTGCTAAACCTGGCATGTTTTGTCTGGCACAAAATTGACAACCGGGGAAACTCAGCTTTCTGTGACATTTGCAGGTATGAAGTGCAAGTTGGTGTGCAAAAATAAGGTCGGAAATACATTCTGCCAAAATATGTTGATGTATTGTGCCAGCGCCCTTTATTTTGTCGCGACAAGTTATCGTATCTTTGTTTCCGGATACCAGTGTGCTGACATTTTAATGTCGTGCAAGCTGGGAAAAAAATTCACCATTAATTAGCGCACCAAGAAATGAAGCTGGTGAAGTGGCAAGGTAGACACCAACGCTTCCTGAGGGTGCACTAAGTGTTTCCATACAACTGGCAACGTTAGATTCCACCAAAAACAATTAAGCGGTCTGTATTGTTTAAGAAAATCAAGTAGGCAAAACAAGTAGGCAACGTCCACTTATCCAACTGCGTTATAAGCTACTATGACCCTTCAACGAGCAAAGTTTCTATACATTTTTGTCATGACTGACAAATATTCTTAACCTGAACCGGAATGGTGCGACTATGATCGTAGACTTGAATCTCATTTACTTTCGAATCAATGCAAATCTGCTACAGTATCTCGGTTAGAAACGTAAGCAACAGATACAGCAGACCTATTACAAACCACTTGTTTGCAACAACCTATTGTGCTAAGGTGTTTATTTGTCTATTCGCGGGCAAATTTCTGATGACCGCCAATATTTTTTAAATGCACGCAACTGACGCACTGAGAAACGCGTTTTGCAATACTTGGAGGCACCTTGTGAATATCAAATTGAATAATCAATGAGACAAACATCCCGATTCAGCGAATGCCCTGCGCCTCACGGTGACATGTTATGGCGTATTTACTTTTGATTCTGCAGACATTTTTGCCATACAACTTGCCCTCACAAATCATAATTTAGTGCTTTCACGGAGCAGTGTGGTGATATATTGTTTATGCTTGCTGGAGTGGAGCGCATTTTACGTCTCACCCAAAATGCCTGGGTCATTGTTTTTCGATAGTTTTCGGTGTTTTTTAATCCT